AACCAACTGGTTATGACTTTATACACTCAGCGCGCTTCCCTCTATACTTTTTAAATAACAATAGAGAAGTTTCTTCTGTTAAAAGTATGGATTGTGGTTTGTTGCTCAAGTAATGTGGGGGGTTTTGTTAGGCTTTACAAAAATGTGATTGCTTTTGTTCCAGAAACTAGATCAACTTTTTCATAAAAGCATTGCTGTTTTTATTTCTGTAACAAAAACTGCAGCATAAGTATACCCACCATGTATTACACTGATTCGCTGATATAAATGTGTAAAGCAGTAAAATTACAAGGAGTTACATCTTTACAGCTGAGGTTCTGCGTGTTAATGCACATAGCACCTATTAAACCTGATCTAAGACTCTTCAGTCTCTCTGAGGTTTTCTTAAGACCATTTCGTACATGTGCCTCATTTACGCAGGCTTGAGAGTTCAAGAGCAGGTTGCATAGACAAACCAGGGACTTTGGAGACATTTGGAAAGGGTCCAAAAGCATCTTAGGGAATTGTTTTGCTGACAAAGCATTTTTGTGGTGTCAAGGAAGCGTGTTGCAGCTTGCAACATGCTTGCAACGTGTAAGCCTGTCTTACATCTTCACTAGTGAAATTAGATGTAAGGGGGGTGTGTATGTGTGTGTAAACGCACACACCCATGCACATGTTTTTAAATCAAGTGGTTGCAAATCTGAAGCTTACCTGTCTATGGAGAAATAGGCAGAAGAAAAAGATGGTCTGTCATGCTGCTCTTGGGAGGCTCCTAGTGCTAACTCCACAATGTCACAGCAGCTTGGTGACTAGCTGTTGCCTGTTCATATGCATTGCTTGGCTCAATCACCTGGTCTTCCTGTCCTCACTGGTGCTTTAGCCAGTAATTGCCATTGCTGCTGTTTATGTTTTCTCTGTGCTAACCTAATCAGGTCATACTAGGCTGAAGTTCATGCCTGTTGTCATGAGCTGTCTCTACAGGATGCTGTCCTCAGGATGTGTTAACCGGTGAGATAGAGCGGTAAGCAAGAGTAGACTGGGGTTTCGATGGGCACAGCCGTCTGACTACTGCTGCCATCCTCAGCCTTTCAGTATCCTACAGTTCTGCAGCCATCTAGAAAAGGCTGTTCTTGGGGGATCTGGATTCACACCGATAAGATTTCTAACCCTTCTCTAAATGCTTTAGATGCTTGGCTGTTTATTGGTGGAATCACCAGCACTAGACACGATCATACTAGAGTAAAGTGGTGATTCACTTTCAGGCAGCAGGCTGCAGCTGTGCAGAAGTCCTCAGGGAAAAGTGACGATTCAAGAAGCCCTGAAGGACCATTCCTTCAGGGAGTTTAATGTAAAGTTATTGATGAAAACGGCTGAGTTGGTTGGAGCACATGAAAATCACCCCAGCATCAGATCAAGTGCGAGAAACTGAAACCTATTTGTGAGAGAGTCTGAGAGAGTAGCTTGTAAAAGCAAGAGGGCTTGTGCTATTTGTGACACCTCCAGTCCCTGCCATGATGCCACAACTCCTCATGACAGGCCAGGAAGGTAGTCCTCCTGCCTTTCCAGCTTCTTTTTGCAGTGTGAAAGTGGAGGCTAGTAGGGTGGCCATTTGCTGACATCCCTGGGAAAAGCATCCCGAGCGGTCTTGGTCTTGTGCTGTATTTCACTCTGATCCTGAAATACATACTCTGATGTGTTTCATATGCTGTGTCATTTTTTTTTTAACCCCTAAGTGTCCCTGGCTGCCTCTGTGAAGAGGGGCATGGACTTTCCAAGTAGTACCTCCTACCTCTGCAGCAATGGGCAACTGTTTGATAACAGTAAAGTGACCAGAAATCTGTATTGAGGGATTTGTGAGAAATCATGGGAGTCTGAGTGTGGCTTTCAAGTTCGTTTAATTGTAGTCAGGGGCCGCGAGGCACGCTGCATCTGGCATTTGGCTTTTCAGTATGTTTAATCTCTTCTTATCTTGATGCAGGGAATATCTGTTATATATTTTTTCCTGTTGTTTAATATAAAACTGGTGGGGGGCGGGTTGGGGAAGACGGTTCACCCTGATTAAATTGTGCAGTCCAGGTGTGAGACATGATTGATTTTCTTTGGAGAACGCTGTTAGTGTGTTTCTTCTGGCTTCCTGCCGTTGTCAGATAGAGCTAAAGTGTTACTTTACTTACCTACAGTGAATAAGTTATAGAGTTGATAATAATCAGTGTTATTCTAATGCATTTTATTCTTTTTCTTAACTGCTTAATGAAATTGTTTTAAATGGCGGCGCAGCTACCTGAGCTCAGCTCTGTTTTTTTCTGAAAGCTCTGAAAACCTGCCCATATTTAGTTACCATGATAAAGTGCATAACTCATGCTTATTTCTGTGTTCACTGCATAGTGCAAAGATTTTACATATTTATTGAACGGGCCAGATCTGCAGTGACAGGATAACCTCTCTGAAGAAGGATAGAAAAAATACTTGCAGAGAAATGCTGGTTTGCAACCCGAGCACTTCATGAAGCATTTAGAAATACTTGACACGGATGCATGACCATTTAAAATTGGTGTACTATCCAAACCTTCTCAGTAACAGCAGACAGATCCTAAAGACTGCAGACTCCCAGCTGTTGGGGGTAGGGACAAGTGATAGTTCAGAAGGTGGGGCATCTAATTTTATTAGAGGACATAGAAATGCAGCTGCCTCGCCAGAGTAGTCTTAAGAGTTTCTCCGTCCCTGCTGCGCCCTGATGTGATTGTAAGAATCTGCTTTGGCTTCTCCTGCTAGAGAATCCAGGTCACTGATAAAGCAGACAGGTAGGATCAAGGAAGGCATCGGAGGACACATGCACAACTTAAGCTTAGGATGAAAACTTGACTGGGCAACATATGTATTGGGGAATGGCAAAGTTCAGGTTGGATCGACAGGTTGCTACATATCTGAGGCACTTCCCAACATAAAGAACTTTAATTCTGATCTTGCGGTTCACACGTTGAACATAACCTTGTTCTTACTTTACTACTGGGATGGGTGAAGTGCCCTTGAGGGAGCTTTGCTTTCAGACATCTAGCAAGTAAAGTAACAGATGCTTTGGGAAGGGAAATGACTGAGAAGATGCAATTGATTGTAACTATCCTTGCAAACTATTGCCTTTCTGGCTCTAACATGTTTGCTCAGTAACCTGTCAGCTTCATGGAGGAAATGTAACTGTGCTCTTGAAAGACTATGTTAACATGGTTGCTTTCATTTTGATTCTGTTCAGTAGTGAGCCTCTAAGGCCTCTGAGACGTAATTAAGTTTTTCAGGCTCAGCTAATGCAGTATGATGCTGAGAGACAGCTGATAAGAAACACTCAGGACAGAGATTTATATGGAATTAACGCAATCTGAGTATGGCCCAAAAGCATTTGGTCAACTATCTGGCCCATTCAATAAATCTTTACCGCAGCTCAGTCAGTGTGTGGTCACTCAACCCTGCTGTTTGGTTTCCAGTTCACTTGGTTTCCAGTTTGGTTTCCAGCTGACTTTGTAGTATTTACACCTAAGACACAAGGGAAGTTTCAAAGCACTGCCAGCTCCTCTCCCGCTTGAAGCTCCGCTCCCATTTACTGCAGCCTGCAGGCTCATACTCTCATACAGCTCTATAGAAATTACATATCTAGGAAATTGATACCCATTTAAATCATTTTGTACAAATGAGTTTCTGCATCTGTGGCCTGAGTTGGCAGGTGGACCTGAGTAATTACTCTGGGTGACTGGCTGCCTGCCAGCCATTCACAAGTACTCTCTTCGTTGATCTGCGGCTACAGGTTACTTCACGCCTACCAGCCTGCTTCATCTGGCACTCTACCTGGCTGGTTATGTGCAGCAGCGAGTGAGCCCCAAGAGAAAGCAGAGCTGAGGTTGTTCCCTAGGTCTTCGCATCCTGCAGCGGGAAACGGGAATGGAGGCGGTAGTTGTTACTACAGTAAACATGATTTGAAGTGAAGGCAGGGGCTCTTGGAAAGAGTACACTGAGCTCTGCTCTGAGCTAAGCTCCTCTTTCCTTAATGCTGTGCTAGCAGGATTTCTCTCCTTCCCCCTCAAACAGCCAGATGTTTTGAATGAGCCTGTCTGCACTGAATAATCTTGCTCTGGAAAATAAACGGAAGTAGGGCTGTTTTATCACCTTTCTTTGGTTTTGTGAGAATAAATTGGCAGAGGTATGTTTAAAACAGATAAACCCCAATTATTCTGCTTTCACAGTTCACTCACAAGACCTGAAAAAGGGCCAGGTACGTTTCTGTTATTGTTGGCCTCTATTTCAATGGCTTGAGGTTTGCATGGTGGTTTTAATATTTGTTTGGTGTCGTCCCGTCCCAGCCGTGTCCTGTGTCGTGTCGTGTGCCCCCCCCCCCCTTGTTCGGGTGTGTGCCCCCCCCCCCCCCCCCCCCCCATTGGATACTACAATTTGTGATGCTTCTCTGCTAATAATGAGAGCTATGGAAGCAAATTCTAGCTTGCTGTGAGGCAGACATCTGCAGTTACTCTGCAGGCCAGAGTTTGAAAATCCAGGGTCTTTTTTTTTCCCCAGTGCCTAGGGCTTGACATGCATCTCTGCAGATAATGTGTGTGTGCCCCTTTTCTTACCCCAGTATGTCTGTGACTGTGGAGTCAAGTCTGCACACAAGAGCTGTTTGTGCAGGCCTGGCTGAGTCATGGAAAAAGATTAATCTGATGCCAGAAAGTGTTGCCTCTGTCCTTTTTTTTCATTTAGCTCACTTGTACCTATGCAGCATGGTTTGGTTGAGTCACTTGAGGACTAAATATAATGAGCATAAAATTATTTTAACAGTATGAACAGATAGCTTTATAATGTAAGTGCTAAGATTACATATTTCTATATGTGAAAGTGACTGGGAGATGCTTTGGTGCCTCTCAATAGGGGGCCTCCAATGGAAAGGGGATATCTGTTGTTTGGGGGTGTCTGTGGCACAGGTGAGACTTCTGATAGAGTGTGAAGGTGGGACGGTCTCTTGTTTCCATGGCACACTCTCAGTTGCAGTTCTTCCCTCGGAACAGCGCGTCTGCTTGTGCTGGACCTCTGTTTCTCAGCGCTGAGAGCAGAAGACGTTCTTTCTTCCTTTCTGGAAAACATTTTGAAAAAGCAAGCTGTATATTATCAGGCTAGGCATAGGATTGTGTTAGACTGGTTTGGCTTTGTTCCATACACAGCTGAGAGTATAGAAGCACATCCACTCTTTAGCAAAGAAGCCGCCCTGGACACCACTTTGAAGAGCAGAGGTTGTTGCTTTGGAGGTTTCTTCTTTTTCCTTCTTGTTCTTATGCAAGATTACTCTTCACCCACTCCTCCAGTAGAGTTACAAACAATAGTGAATGCTGGTAGCATTAGAGCTGGCATGAATGGCTTTGTTAAAATGATAACATACTCTGGGACTGAGTTTTGTTGCCTCTGCGTGCTTCAGAAGGGACACGAAGAGGTGATAGTGGTGTTTCTTGGGAGTGCCAGTATTGTTGGCTTGCCCTGACTGGGTAGAGGATGCAAAAGTGGGCTTTGGTAGCTGAAAAAGTCTGAGAAAGCCTGATTTAGCCTGCAAAGAGTGAGGGAGATATGTTAGATGAGGGCAAATCCCAAAGTTCGTTGGCAGAAGAAGTTTCGGCTTGTGTATAACTTACAGGAGCAGATTTTAGGGAAGAGATTAAACCAGTACCTCTTGCTGCTACATTCTTTCTAGCAAGAGGCACATGGAGTTGTACACGTCCCTCACCTTGCTGTATTTCTGAGTTGCACCAGTTAGGTGAAGATTTACATGAATGTATGTCGTGTCAAGAGAAACCAATTGAGTGGCTGCAAGAATAGAGGGTCTTGGGTATCTAGATCTTAGAGAACTTAAATTCAGGTTCTAAATGTCATTTCTTGTATTGTCACTGAATTCTATGATTCTGTGTTTCTAATTTGGGTCCTGCTGCACAGGCACAAGTTAGAGCTTCTGAACATTAACAGTCCCTGTGCTGTTTGGTGACTAGCATCCTAGACACATGGTGTCTTAACATTTATCATTTCCATTACTTACCCTGCTTCATGTTTTGACTTGCCACTGATTCTTTAGCCGAAGACCTGAGTGAAAAAGAAAGAATGTCTAACTTTACAACTGGTATAAACTGTGCACTGCAATATACAGGAGGTTTTTCTCAAAGGGGTTTCAAGTGCTCCTAAAACTTTGTGATGCTCCTGTAATAACTACATTTGTATCAAAGAGTGTGGGGTTGTTTGTAGTTAGGAGCATTTTTGATTAAGGCTGTGCATGATAAACTTCAATCACAAAGTTGCATTTTTCACAGGAGGAGAAAACAAAAATTTCTGGTTATGAGGTTTAGCTTATCCCTAATCCTAGCAACCTCACTGCAGATTTTACCTGGACCGATTCATTTCCCTTTCTGGACGCCTCTGAAGAGGAGGGAGAGGCTCTAGCGGACTCGGGTTATTCATGTTCTCTGCTGTACCTTCCTTAGAATTCAGCACACTTTTGTCAGTCAGTTCTAAACAAATCAGACTGCACACAAAGTCTTTCTCTGAAATGTGAAAGTAGCAGAAATTTTATTAAAGTTCCCACTTGCTGCTCTGGATGTTTAGGGATGAATGCAGGAGTTCCCTTAACTCATTTTCAAAGGGCTTAAGGACATGAAAGACATGTTTCGTTTGCTTTCTGCCTTCCCCCAGCCACAGCAGCCCAGAGCCCCACTGGGAGAGCCCGTTTTTCCACCCTGCACCAAACCTGAGTGCGCTGAGGTCCGAGTGACTAATTGCTGTGTACTGTCACCTTACGGCTCAGTGCAGCCACAGCTAGGCCCAAGCACACTTCGCTGGATCCTATTCCTTCCACCTCAGCAACCCCACTCAGTTCAGGTCTATGAGAATTTCAGGGTTTTATGCGAATATACAAGAGCATATGCTTTTCAGAAAGGGATGCGGATGCATTTGTTTGTTACCTTTTTCACTTGCCCTTGTGAACCATTTTTGGATCTCGGTAAGCGAATCTGTCTGCAAAATTTTGCTGAGTTTTTCCAGCACCTGGAAGAGGTACAGGATAATTACCATGAAGGAAGAGAAGCTGATTCACAGCAGTTTTTGCATGTGTTTTAGTTCAGCTCTAGCTGTGTGAGTGTGCAGTTTTACAGCTGTGCAAATTGTCTAGCCTAAGATGTCCCATGAGTTTTGCCACAGTCTGAGCTAAGGACACCAGTCTGCAAAAGGTGATGTTGAGCTAGTGCTGTGTACGCAGCACTTCAGAGACACAGGAAGGAAATCCTAAGCAGTATTTCCTACATATAAAGCCCCTTACGTGTGACATGTAATATTTGCAGGCTGTTTTTTAGAGAACAAGTTTCAGCCCGTGTGCCAGCTGCATTGCTCCCCCAGTGATTGCCAATAGCAGCCTCCAGTTAGGTGAAAGCAGCTCAAGAGTAAATGCTAAATACAAAAGTCAGTAGATTCCACACTGGGGTGGCGGGGGGAGGGAAATCTGACCAATAAAGTCCCACACCATCCTCAAGAGAAATAAAAATGTGTAACATCATAGGAAGCCATATACCGTAGCGCTCATGTGTTACCTTTATTTTCTGATCCAGGTAGTGCAGGCCAGAATTCTCATTCTCCTGGATGCGAGGACTGTAACGCAAGTTGACGAATGGAGAGGAAGGCTGAGTGGGAGGCGCAACATGGCTTCCCTGCCTATTTGCAGGTTCTGCAGAGGCTTGGAATCGTTTTTTCAGAAGCTTTTCCAAAACAGAAGACAATGTGTAAAGGAATGGTTTGACTCCATTTAAGCAGCAGTTAAAAGCAATGTGAAGTATATGGCTAATACTAGTCCCCAGCAAGAGTGTGCAGCAGAAAACACACCTAAAACTGTTACTCGGTTGAATATGACCACCTATAGGTTAATTGTTACAGCTTCTAATACACAGTCACTGAGAATAATAACAGATATCCATGGCATAATGCATAACATTGGATGAGAATGAAAGTGATGCCAGGTAGCTACTGATGGAAAGCAGATGAGGAAGGGATTAAATCTGGACCTCTATGGTCTGTTTGCTATTCCATCATGGGTTTGTAGCCTGCTGCTGAGCCACTACTCTTCATTTCTCTGTGTGTAGGCTTCACCAGTCTATTGAAGGCCCAGGAATCAAAATGTGATTGGCAAAAGGTTCTGTTTGTAAGTGCTGAGGAAAAACAAAAGGCAACTAACGGCTATTAAGAAACAGTAGTTTACTGAGTGTGGCGATATCTGTCCATTATGTAGTTATTTTGCAGCCAAACCACAGTAAATACAGTTTGAAGAACTGTGTTCTGCATGTATAAGTGAACAGTAAAAATAAAGCATGGCCTTTGCTATACCCAGCTCAGGAACCAAAGAGCAACATTTAGACAGACCCCCCCCACCCCGCAGTTAAAATAGAAAAGTTAGGAGAAAAGCGAGTCCTTATTTTTAGCATCTTTACTGCCAAACGTCTTCGTAGTGCCCTCTGCTGTCCAGTACCAGTGCAGCAACACTTGCATTCCCTTTTTCTCAAGAGTGTGCAATCCTCCTTGTGATACCGTTTGTAATGGAATACCAACTTAGCCCTCAGCTCTCGTACAGTCGCAGTAGAGGAGACGAGTAATTAGATAGCCTGCAGCTTGAGACTAAAGAGTTATTGCAGAAAGAATCTTCTACTGGAATTTATGAACACAGCTGCAAAGTTGGATCTAAACCCCAGCGTGCTGCTTCTACAAAATAGTGTCAGCAAAAGTAAAACTGTTGGCCGTAAGTAATCTAAAGAATCTTTGTGTTATGAGGGGAGGAGGCTTTTTCCTGTGCTTGTTTATTGTATAGTGTGACTTTTTTCCCCAGCAGTTTGAAACAAAGTGACTTTTATTCCCATCTTCATTGGGTTTGACCGTTTTTGTTGCTAGCAAAGCACAGTGACGTTACAGAGCTGAAAGTGATACAATTACAGCTTAGTTACCTAAGCTACCATCTCCCTTACAAGCTCTGGTGTTCTACACATGGGATCCTCACATCCCTCTTTTTGGTTCTGCGCTGTCCTCCTTAGCAGTCTGAGACTCTCAATTCAGGTTACAGTGTTGAGAAGTGAGAGAGAGAGCACCAAAACAGAGCGCCCTGTCTTTTTTTCCCTTACCTTTTCAGATGAAGTGGGGTTATTTTGAATCCTTTTAGGAACATCCGCAGGTCCTTCTGGAAATCAACAGGCAGAGTGTTTTCTCAAATTGAAAATTGAAGGCCATAAGATACACCTTATGTTATACCGGGGTGGGGGTCATTTTTAATTACAAAAGTGCAAAAGCCATATTTTAGATATCTCTAAGGGGGTGTATTTCTTTCCTTTTTTGTTTGCTTTTACTACCTCACATAGTACATTAATGCAATTATTTGCTGAGATGCCTAAGAAATCTGAAGAAAATCTGGGAAAGTGTATTTCATAGATGCATGCTTATAGTGCTGTGTAACCACTACTGCAGCATGTTGCTTACAGATGGAATAATTGCTGATAATTGTGAAATTATTAGATGTCTAGCGAGCATATAATCTCTAAAAGCTATAAAGATGCAAGGGTAATTAGCGAGGAGAAATCTTGTAAGATGTGGTGACTAACACACATAGAAGGGAAGAAATACTTGCCTTTTAAATGTACGTTCATTGCCCTATGTTCCCTTTACCTGGACCTGAGCTGTGATGACACAGTGCCCTGGCTGAGACCCAGTTGCACCTTTAACAGCTCAGGTTCCTCTGCTGCTGCTGTATAATACGGCAGTTTGGTGCCTCTACTCACGTGTCACAGACTGTGAAGTGCCTAGCTCCCTTCGCCTGAAACCCTCCAGCTTTGGAAGGTAGCAGTTGGCAGATGTATTGCTTGTGGCGTTCCCAGTTAGCACGCGTTCTTGATGAGCTTCTCGCTTGGGGGTGACTGTGTTGCTAGCAGATGGGTGTTCTCTTGAAAAGCTGCTTCTTACAACACAGACTGGAGCGTTGTTTAATCCTGTGCACAAAACCAAAGGATACAGTCTTTACTACAATAAACACGCACAGTTAACTTAGCAGGTGATCTCCATGGAGACTGTGCTGGAAGAATGGAAAACAGAAGTATCAAACCTGCAATTTGTATGTAATAATACAGGGCTTATGGAATGGTGTGTAAACAGTGAATAAACTTGGCATACTTGAATAGATGGCAGAGGGCCCTAAGCAGGCTGTTACGGAGGACGGTATGATCAACCACTTCCTGAACAGTGATGGTGTTCCAGCTAAAATCTGGAGAGTGGCCAGGTAGGGTGAAGCACACTCATTTAGCTGTGCCAAGTCAGGAAATAAGTGTCATTCTTCCACCTCTCTTAGAAAGCTTGTGGTTTTCAATGAGAGTTGCAGCATTTACTGAAGAACTAGAATCCTCCTTTCTTAGCCAGGGTAAAAGGAATTTTATAACCAACCACTATTTTTATCATTAACGTAAGTCAAACTGGATTTAGTATGGCAAAAGCAGTGCTATTAAGTAGTTGATGAGGATTTTCAGAACCTTGATTCTGTTTAGTATCTGACATAAAACAAATATTAAGCAGAAAGTAACTACAGCTAAACATTACTCTGCTGAGAGTACAAAGATATCCACCAAATTAATCTGGCTAAGCCATGTAAGACTTTGGCCTTAGCTGGCTGTGGTCAGCTTGTCTTTTTTACCAGGTTCTAGAAGAAGAGATACACACACACACAAATACATACTTTATCTTTTATATGTTCTCTATTTTTACTTTAGGTAGATTTTATATATAAAAAAATAAATACATGCACACACAGACACACAGAATTGTGTACATTATACGCTGGGTGGTCAATCTGAAAGGAGGAGTCTTGCTTTGTTCCTGCAAAGGCATCCCTTCTGAGATGCAAGAAATTGAGTTTTATTCAGAACCGATTTGGTCCTGCATCACCCTTCGTCCCTTTTTACAAAATTTATATTACAGACTCATCAACTACCAATACCAATCCTGATGCAATATCTGTCTACTTATTCTAACAGTCCCCAAGGAACTCGGCAGAGATTTTTTTTTTCCCTTCGTGACCCTTCTGTGCCTTCTGCAGTGTAAATCTGGCCGTGTATCAGCAATTTTCTTTCAGCTGCTGCCAGAAAGATGTCTTCGTGCAAACATCCAGGGTCAGCTTCTGAAACAAAAGCCCATCCCTAGAAGTACTATTTCTTCTGCTGATGCAGATGGCACAGTGATTTTCACTGTATTCCTTTCAGGTGTAGGCAGAGTAATCGCAGCTAGATCTAACACACAGCAGAGCAGCACGGTGTTTTTAGAGCACCAGGTTACTGTTATTAAATGCTGCATTGTGTAATATGTTGCTTCTGGAAAGCTACAAGAATTGTTTAGGTGAGAGTGAAATAGAGAAAACAATTGTGACAACCTGTCTGTACACTTGTGAGCACAGAAGGAAAGAGGAAGAAATTATTTTAGCTTGAAAGAAATTATTTTAGCTTAAAAGAAATCCCAGCCAGTTGTCTTGGTGAAATAGTTTTAGCTGTACCTTGTAAAGAATTTAGTGCTGCTAACCTTTACGTTACCAACCTGAGATTATTCATTGCTGAGGAGGGGTAAAGATGCTTAGTGTATTGAAATGAAGGTAACAGCTTTTTTTGATGAAATGCTTCTCTTAGACAGAAACAGGAAACAGGAGCAGTGGGTACTTTTGGAACAAAATCGCATTACACTCGCATTTCTCTTTGTGCTTGCTAGGGCAGTTGTCCAGGCTATCTGTGCAGTCCCTCAACAACTCTTACCTGGTATGTGACAGACCATCCTAGGATGCGGAATGTTCCTGGAGAAATAGTACTTTTCCTCTGAGCAGCGAGGCTGAGAGTAACAGCGGTTGTACTTCCACATGTTGTGGTTGAACTGAGGTTCATACACTGACTTGAAACTGGTATTTGTTGTGTAACCTTTCTTATTCTCTTGCGGAGTGTCTTTCTGCAGAGCAGATGGGCTCTTCTGCTGATCGCCTGAGGCCAAATGCTGGAAGTGAAGTAAAGAACATGAACTCACATAGACTGAAAGGTACTGGAAACTTCAGTTACTGTTTTTCTTGTTATTTTTACCTCTTCCATACACAATTTGGAGAAGCTGTAAGCACAGGAAGGTGGAAGCAAGCTACCTACTGCTCCACTCCTAAGTAGTTACCTCGGGCAACTAATGCTGCTTGTGGGCACTTTCCAGCTGCTTTTACTTCCTTGCAGTTTCTGCTCCGGAGTTCAGCCACTCCTTGCCGTGCATATCTGAGACACCTTTTCGTAGTAACGGACTATATTGAAGCAGGGGGAGTGGATTGCTTTCTGACTTGCGACAAGAAGTGCAGGGACAAGTGATGATAGCAAAGGAGATGTCCAGGCCTTTTTGGTTTCTATCTTTACTAAGGGTTGAGTATGCAGAGAGGCAGTCCCATGTCTCTTAATACTTGGAATCTGTTCTAGATTTTGGTTTTAGAGGTTGAATAATAGACTAGTAGCTGTTATTACGATTAACTTTTTTTTTTCCTTTCCTGTAGTAGCAGTCACTAAAGTTCACAGTGTTCTCTGCCTCTGGCACTTGCTTAGGATACTCAGTACCATAATGTCTAAGATTGGGAACATCCTAAGAATGGTGGTTTATTGAAGGTACCTTGCAAATGTCACACAGAGGGGTTAACTAATCTATTTCGTGATGGTCCAGAATCAAGTTTATCAAACTAAGAAATTCACCTGCAAGAGCTGCTGGCTGTAAGAGCCTGGATGGGCTGAGAATGGAATAAGCATTCGGCAGTTATCTTTTGGGGTGAGGAAGCAGCATATTTTAAGTACTATGTGGAGAGAAGAGGGTTGGGAAAGGACAGGACATCTTTTTAAGCAACTCTTAATGTTTTGCAAGGTTACATTTTTATTCCATAGCTACGTCTGACCTGGGGAAAAACTCGAGTGAACTGACAGATTTTGCAATGTGCACAGAAGGTCAACAGAGGTGAGGAGGCTTGCCCATCTGAAAACAAAAAGTATCAATTCCAGAGTTGAAGGTCTTGCGTTAAGGTCATCCTATGCCCTGACAAACCAACCACAGTGTTTGTCGCCTGTGAAACATCACATTTCAGTGCACGAGGAGGCAGGGTGGAAGCTACAGTTCATAGAAATGGTTGGTAGCTTTTGGCAAGCTCATCCTCTTTTTTCAAATTTAAAATATCTGTATCTCCTGATATCAAAAGTAAAAACACATCTTCTGATTTTGGTTGTAGTGGATTGATTGAATAATTGAAATAATGAAAATGGCTATTTTGTGTAGCATCCTGATTGCATTTGTATTTCGCAGCCAACTTTTACAACTTTGATTCAAAAAACAAAATTAATTGGGAGTCTAGCTTTTCCAAAGCCCTATAATTTTTTTAAATGTGTAGTACTTACCATAAAATATTCTCTCTGTATGCTTAAGATTAAATGCTTACTCGAAATAGTGTATAAAGTAACTTGTAGGAGCAGAAAATACTTTCCTTTTTCTGGGGCTTCTGTTTTTCCACATAATCCTACTTATGTTTTTATGTTGGCTACCTATAAAGGACTAACTGTATGTAACTGAAGTTTTTAAAAATGTTTATGTGGGAGGGTTCTCTTCTTTACTAAATTGTTTAGTGGATTTTCTTGGTAATCTAAACTGTCTTGTGAAACATACTTTTATAATCTCACTAGTTATTTAGCAACCTCAGAGTATTATATACAATAATTGCTGGTACAATATGTTTTGGGGATTTTAGGGGTGTTACTTTACCAAAATAGCAACTTATGACATTGTTAATATTTAAATTAGTAAAATTAAATGCAGCGATACCACGAACAATTGGACGTTTGACAGAACGATGTTATCAGCCAGCAGTGTCATTTTTATATTTATTTTATATATTTATAGATAAAATCACACCCAAAATGTTGATTATCATTGCAGTATTCAAAAATACTTAAGGGCTTCCCATTTCCTTACGAAGGATGTGTACAGCAGTTATTTAGAGTAGTCTTATATCTGACTCTGCTAATGGGCTCTCGAAAAAAGATGTAACTTATGTCATTTATTGCTTTTTCACCAGTTCTCAGTCTATACCCGGAAAGCATGTAAGTGATGGTGTAACGGACAGAAAGGTCTAACTACCTGAGAAGAAGCGCTGTAGAGGACCTCCTTCACAGCAGGATGCCAGGTTGGCAGCACGTTTTTGCTAGCTGCAGCAGGTAACATTCCCCCTGTAGCAGGGATTTATGTCTTTCCTCGGGTAGGGGTCTTCAGCTGAGCGAGTGGCAGCCTGTCTTGACTGCTCCGCTGAGCAGCTGTGGCAGGCACAGGGTTGGTGATGCGGGGAGGTTCTAGAACCGTTCCTGTTGACGTTTCTGAGCTGCACGCCACCATGGCAGCAGCACAGCCACGTCTTTTGCCTGTCATTGGCAGAGGGAAGAGCTTGTGTACCTCCAGTTCATCCTTTACGTTTTTAGCACTCTTCCTCTTTAACATGAGAATATTCATGACCAGAAATAACCGATTTCAGTAGAGAATTAATATTTGCACATGGACACAGGGAAAAAGGCTGCGCACAGGACTATAAAATCACCTGACCTTGGGGTTTTGTGTTCAAGAAAATTCACACTTTTGGACAAGATTTTAGGGATGATTTTTTCTAGAGTACAAGTGCAGTGTTACATAGTTTCAACGGGCGAAATTGTCATCATCAAGTAGGGTTAATGGGGTTAAATGAGTAAGCATAAAAATGCATTTTCAGGCATTGACCAGTAAGGATCTTAAATGTAGTCATGCGATTGCTGTTTGAATCCAGTAACAGGAAGAAAATCTAGAAATCTACTTTGCAATGTGGCCACTGGTTATTGCCGGAGATGTCTCCAATGGTGCTTTGCCCACAAAAGTAAGATTCCTGCTACACTGAGGTTGCAACTCCAGTACACTTTTCAGGTCTCCTTAGAAATCCTCCAAGTTTACAAGCGTTATTATATAGACTCAGACACTAAGTCACAGGTTATGTTGTGTGTCTCGGTTTCACAGGCTCTTATTTCCTTAGCATAACCCAGAAAGCACAGCTATCGGAGATTACTTTTCCCTCCCTGTGATGGTGGACCAGAATCAGTGCTTTTGGTCCTTCCAGGGGGCCATAGCAGTCCATTCGCTTGTGGTCTCCAGGCGCAGCTATTTCAGGACATTGTACCTGCAAGTGACTGCTACTCATTTAATTTTTTGTTGCTTTTGTTGGTTTTGCAAGCCATCTTGGGAACAGAGAGGAGGATAAAAGTTTTGGCTCTGAGGTCAACAATAAATTTGATTTCTTGTCGTGATTTTAAGGTCTTTTGCAGAAAAATGGGGCGCACACTCCTTCTTTTTGTACTCACCAGAAGTGGGAATATATGGCATTGTCCACAAGAAGCTGGAGAAAAGCAAAAAATGGAAGAAGTGTGGGGAGGCTTTTTACTCTTGGAGGGGAGAAAGAGGAGTGTGACTGGTGTGGCTCTTTGTCATTACAACAAAAGTTTGGATAACTTACAGGCTAAGATGCTATTGAATCTTTTCAAGAAGAGAAGGCAGCTGATAGCAGAAGCTCTAAGAAAGGGTCCATGCAGCTGCTAGCTTCTGATCCTGCAGCCCAAAATGGCCTGTTACGTTGGCTTTGTGGTAAGGCCTATATAGAGAAGAGGCTGTTGCTGTGAAGGCACAGAGGTAGCATGAAGCACGGGATGATTTTGAGTTGTCACACATGGAGACACAAAGTGTCAGGACCCCTGGGGCATGTGTTAAGATGTATATTTTGTTTCTGAAAGCACTTTTATCAATTCTTTTTAAATAAAGCCAACAAGGTTGGCATGGGATTGTGGATCTACTTCCTCATGAATCCTCTGTGTCTATGGATGGGGGAGGAGCACAAGAGAGACAGAGTTAACAGAAAATACCTGCATCTTTGCTACATGTAAGAGACAGCAGGGCATTGTTGGGAGGAGGAATTCAAGAAATTCAAAGGATGTGGAAGGGACTGCAAGGTAGAAGTCTTTCATACTGCTGTTCAGTTAATTTTCAAGTAAACTATGACAACAAAATGGCTTCCTGGGGACCACAACCGTCTGCCTACAGAACAGAGGGCGAGCTGCAAACATTTTTCCAGCATACTGCAGTTTTTTATGATTGCTCAGGATTTACAAGTAGTTGCTATAAAAGCAACTTAAACAAATAGCCAGCTGGACTCATTAAAAGGGAGCTGCCATTGAGATCTCACACAGGGCAGTATTGTCTTTATCCAAATACAGCGAATGAAAGTGAGGTTCTGGAACAGCAATTCCAGAGATGCAGTACAAGGAGCTTAACTTTCTTTGGTAAATTGATGAAAGGGATCATTTGGGACAACTTTTGTTTTTTACAAAGCAGAGGGATAGATTCATTAACTGGGAAATTCCATCTAATTCTGTGACTAGAATGCCTATGGAGAGGTACTACTGCTGATGCTGCAAGACAACAATTCATAATGTGTTAAACATTAAAGAGATGATGACATATCTAAAAGGAGAAAGGGGGAATGGATGGAGTCAGGTGAAGGGCAGTAGTGTTAGTTGCCAAAGTTATGTGTTCTGTGAGGTTTGAGTACTGTATGGTTCCCTCGTTCAGCTCAGCCTGCCAACTTCAGTGGAAGGTGAAAGGATGAAGTATTATTAAGGTATCAGAATCTGCCAGTAATTCAGGCACTTTGCCTTTTCACACTTTCCTTTCCCCAGAGCTGATCCATATTTCTTCCACTATAGCACTATAAAAATATGAAGATGATTTTTCAATTTTAAAAGGAATAGCTCTTTTGGGCATGTATTTTGTTGCGTTATGAAAAACATTTTCCAAATGTTAATTGAGGTTGAAATTGTGCCTGGGACCACCAGTTTAGACATAATGGAGGATCTTAAGTTACTCTTGAAACTTATCTATCTCTTCACATCAGTTATCTATATCTTCTTTACCTTGGACCGCTCTCCAGTAGTCTGGGCTCAACGTGAGGTACTATTTTCAAAAGCCTAAGTCCTGTGGAAAGCAAGAAAGATTTGGCACATAAGCTAGGTGGATACCTAGGCAAAACTCAGAACTAGATTGGGGGTTTGCATGTGCAGAATATCAAATCCAAGAATTTATGCAGTGCCTGTCTGTATAAGAAAACAGCTAAGATGTTCTGTAGAAGTGTAAAACTGAGCTGGATAATTAAGTTTTAAAGGTACATTAGCTCTTGCACCCAGCTAGAACTCAGAAGTTGAGAAAGGTAGGGGCAGATACAGCAGAGCATTACAGATTTGTTTCAACTTTGGATCAAACAGCAACTGAAATCTTGAAATAAAAGGCTGGCTGGAAATGCTTTGGGAGTTACTGATAAAAGTCTTGGTGAAAGATAATTGAAAGAAGGCTGGGTTGGTGGGTGATTCGAACAATTTCCTTTGGTTTCAAAATTTGTTAATGTTTCTTAAAGCAGTGGTTCTCGGTTGTGTCCGTGGGAAGGTGCTTCTGAAAGACTTCTAGTCAAAGCTGGAGAGACACAATATCTGTTCCAAAGTGGCATCCAACTTTTTGATTAAAAAAATAGATTCTAGAGTAAGCAGTTTTAGTTACAGTCCTGGTAGCAGTCCTGTGCAATTTCCTATGCACTTCAGAGGATTATGACCTACATAAAGATAAAGATCTACAGTAAAGTAAAACCATGAACCACTTTGTTGTCCCCATTCCTACAATTCCCAACTCCAGCCCTATAGTGATACAGAAAGGAGCATTCAGGATCATATCGTCAAGATACAAAGATAAGTTTCTTCATGACAGATGTTCTTCAGGCAAAAGAAATACCATCTCTGTATTCAATTGCATTCGTGGCAGTTGCTAGCTAAAATCAGTTTACAAGCAGAACAGCCTGGGACAATAAATAGCAACTGTGAGTAGATAATAACAAAACAAACAGAAATGGTGGATAAAGGCCAATTTGAGAAAAGTCTGTGATCTTTCTATGTTCAAATATCTCCAGGGTGTGAGGGGAAGGGCTGCTGTAACATTTTAAGATCTGGATCCTTTAATGAACTGCCAGTTGAAGACATTGCAAGGCAGTTATTAGCAGTGCTGAATTCCACGATTTTATCACTCCTTTCAGGAAGGGATTTAGTATGTTCAATAATGCCAGATATGATTATTTAACAAGTAGGAACATTTATTCAGTGGTTAAGTGCCCCTCTTGGTTCTGATTTCAGGCTAAAATCAGGCAGTAAATTGCTTTGCTTCTCTGAGCTTTTTCTTTCCACCTATTTATCTTACCGATACCTGACAACCATAATTGCATTTTTGATCCAAAGATATGCTGGTGGTGGGCATAACGCTGGTCAACGTTTCATGTCCTTTGCCCAAGTTACAGTCTCCAAGTAAAGACGACCTGGAGTTGCATCAACAGGCCTTTGTTCACTGCTCCTAACTTCTTTTGAGTGCAAGCTCAGCAGCCATTAACAACTCCAAGGTGCTCTTTCTCTTCTGCCTCTGTTGCTACATTTCACTGGGATCTGCTGAGGTTAATAAATCACTGGAGAGAGAATATTAGTTCCACATGTTCAGTTGGACAAAGTGAGATAAAAAGCTGATGAAGGAATTATGTATCATAATTGTGTAAGAAGGAATACAATACCTAGATAAGCATAAAGAAAAATTCTCTTCATAGTGAACTGCTCTAAAAGGGGAGAGGATGGGGCCTAGGGATCCTTTAAGTATTTTCTGGCAAGTATCAGAGCAAAGCGTTGAGCGTGAGGGCCTGTACGAGTGAGCCGTAAAGGGGCGGCACTGTAGTTTCTCTGTGTGCGAGGGCCGCTGTACGCCTCGAGCCTGAGCATCTTGAGCAATCTGGCAGAGCAATACAAATAAAGCAGCTTCTGCAACATAGTTATGCAAGTTGTCTTGTGTTTCACTGGCGCCATGTGCAGTCCTTTTTCTTGCCACCTTCTTCCTAAAGACTGTGCCTCCTACCCCAGCACAGGCTGCAGACAGGATCCACTGCCCAGTGTTCCCAGTTGGAGGTACCCATTCTGGCCAAAGGAGATGGTTTCCAGATGGCCTCAGCTCCATTCCCTGAAAAAAACATTTCGTGGACTTGATGTGCGTATAGCTAAAGAGATGAGGAGAGTTTTCACGGGAAAGGAAACATAAAGGGATGAGAGAAGAGACTGTTAAGGAAAAGGGATGGGAACTTTAGAAGAAGGGAGGAAAGGAGAAAAGTAACCGTCAAGGAATAGACGGGACTAGAAATACTTCATTCGATTACAAGTTTTTCTAGGCTTTGTAAAACTGTCAGCACATTACAGGAAGGTAAGTCATGTTGTTTTGGATGTATTTCAACGCAGACTACACAGAATGTGTCTTCTACCTTGAAGGCCTTACTGGCCTGGAGAATTTAGAGGGTTTTTTATATACATTATTTTTGTGTTGACATATTGTATTACGCTACCAATCTTTTAATTGCACCACACCTCAAAAATTTTCAACTTGACATGACAAGGCATCCTCTGTGATAGTGGTATTGCCTACACTTTCCCAGAGGTGCCCAGCCTTCTGCTCTGAGGTCTTTAGCCGTCACTCCACTCTCAGGTCAAAGATGTATGGGTATATGGGGTGTGCAGGGAGTCAGGGAAGAGATTTTCCTCTAGCTGGGAGAGGAATGAGTCTTTTTTGCTTTTTGAGGTTGACCATCCGTATGTGTGGTCTTTCCCAACTGATGTGTTAGCATTGCAGCATGAGGTCTCTGCTGACTGGCTGGTGGGAAAGGGGGCTCAGAGCAAGGTGGTAACAAGCCCATGTTCAAGCAGCTTCTTGAGGGAGAATACAAGTTAAACTGGCCAATTTTGTGTAACCAAACAATATATTTTGTCAGCTCATTACTGTAAGCAGTATGCAGGAGAAATCTTTTGTTACTTCCATCTAGATAAAATCCACACGGTTAGAGTCATAGTGTCCATGTGTGAGCTTGGCCAACACAGGGCTTATCTGAGGCTCCTCTACCTTAGATGTGCCACAAAGACTATACAGTTCGGAAGGTTTGTAAGCACAACATGCAGTATCTGCTATACTGCGAGCGGTCATAGCTTATCTGCAGCATTATCATAAATCAATACATTTATGAAATTAGTTTCCCTATGAACTTTGAGATTACCTTAGCAGGCGAAATTTCTGTACCTTAGATGTGCCACAAAGACTATACAGTTCGGAAGGTTTGTAAGCACAACATGCAGTATCTGCTATACTGCGAGCGGTCATAGCTTATCTGCAGCATTATCATAAATCAATACATTTATGAAATTAGTTTCCCTATGAACTTTGAGATTACCTTAGCAGGCGAAATTTCTGGAAGGAAATCTTAAAGGTGCAGGAGCAAGCCGTCCCCGTGTGCCGAAAGGTGAGCCGTCAGGGAAGAAGACCAGCCTGGCTGAACAGAGACCTTTGGCTGGAACTCAGGAGAAAAAGGAGAGTTTATGACCTTTGGAAGAAGGGGCAAGCAACTCAGGAGGACTACAAGTTCTAAGTCCTCGCTGTAACAAATTGCATGGTTAGAAACCATTTGTGAGCATGTTTGAAATACTCCCATTGTCTGCATCCAGAAATCTGAATATTTGACATTATGTTTTGGGGGAAATAAATCCTAGGTTGCTCCTGGTAAGTTATTGCTACATCATATCTATTATGGAAGGATCTGTTTGGTCCAAATCAGCTAAGACAAATCACAGATGTTTCAGCCTTTTATAAGGTTGTCCTCTATTTTAAGTTCAAACTAAACAATTTACAAAATTGTGACTTGGGCAACCATTCAAGACTTCAAGTGTTACATCAGATAATTTTTATCCCTTACTAGTGTTAAGTACAGTAGCATCATAACAAGGTGACCATGAACCAGCAATGCACCATTGTGGCAATTAAGGCCAACAGTGTCCTGAGCTGCATCAGGAAGAACATTTCCAGCAGGTCAAGGGAGGTGATCCCGCCCCTCTACTCAGAACTGGTGAGGTCACATCTGAACTGATGGATCCAGTTCTGAGCTTCCCAATATAAGAAAGATATGGACTTACTGGAGCAAGTCCAATGAAGGGCCACAATAATGATTATGGGACTTATAGGAAGAGAGGCTGAAAAAGACGAGACTGTTCAGCCTGGTGAAAAGATGTCTCAAGGGGGATCTCATCAATGTGTATGAATACCTGATAGGAAAAGATGAAGAAGATAGAGCCAGACTCTTTTCACTGGTGCCCAGTGACAAGACAGGAGGCACTGGACACAAATTAACATTAAATTCCATCTGAGCACAGGAAAAAACTTTTTTACTGTGAGGGCAGTCAACCACTGGAACAGGTTGCCCAGAGAAGTTGTGGAGTCTCCATTTCAGAAAAAATCAAAGTCCGACTAGACTTGGTCCTGGGCAACCTGGCTGACCCTGCTTTAAGCAGAGGCTTTGGACTAGTTGATCTGAGGAAGTCCTTTACAGCCTAACAATTATGTGATTCTATGATCTAAGCACTATTAAGTACCCAGTGAGATGAATTTTGAAATATTCATATCTTTACTGACAACCTGTTGCTTGATAACCTTCCTTTATTCCTAGTGTCTTCCTCCTGATGACTGAAACCCTTGGCCAGCCTCTGTGGGAAAAAGAAAATCTTGAAGAATTCTTCACTTTTTTGCTTGAGGAGATTCCTTGCCTTATTTCCCTTTTGCTCAGACCTGTCCATCTCCATTCAGACTTGTTTCTTGCCTTTTTCTTTGTCTCCCATTTGCATGACCATGTCATGCTTTTCATCATGCTTAGCCCTCTGCTGTGAGTTCATAATATTTACTTCATCACAAAGGGTCATACATGGTCACAGACTGTCCAGAGCCCACTAGACTCTGTGTTATGTAAATATTCTACCAAATATAATTACTTGCACGGTACACTGGTTCTATTCTTCAATTTCTTTTTCAAAAGTATCCAGCATTTTAAAGCAAAAATACAATATTTTTATTTTATTAATTTGTTCTAATTCAACTTAAGCATATTTTATCTCATAATATGATTTTTAAAAAATAAACAACAACACTGCAAACCTAGAGTCAGGTCAGACATAAGCACAAGTTTTTTGTCTTGGTGATAAGTGGAAAGCTGCCTGGCGGAAAAGGACCTGGGGGTGTTGGTCGACAGCCGGCTGAACATGAGCCGGCAGTGTGCCCAGGCGGCCAAGAAGGCCAACGGCATCCTGGCCTGTATCAGAAATAGTGTGGCCAGCAGGAGTAGGGAAGTGATCGTGCCCCTGTACTCGGCACTGGTGAGGCCGCACCCCAAATACTGTGTTCAGTTTTGGGCCCCTCACTACAAGAAGGATGTTGAGATGTTGGAACGTGTCCAGAGAAGGGCAACGAGGCTGGTGAGGGGTCTGGAGAACAAGCCTTATGAGGAGCGGCTGAGGGAGCTGGGGTTGTTTAGCCTGGAGAAAAGGAGGCTGAGGGGAGACCTCATTGCTCTCTACAACTACCTGAAAGGAGGTTGTAGGTCTCTTCTCCCAAGTAACAAGCGATAGGACGAGAGGAAATGGCCTCAAGTTGTGCCAGGGGAGGTTTAGATTGGATATTAGGAAAAATTTCTTTACTGAAAGAGTGGTTAAACATTGGAACAGGCTGCCCAGGGAAGTGGTTGAGTCCCCATCCCTGGAGGTATTTAAAAGACGTGTAGATGTGGTGCTGAGGGACATGGTTTAGTGGGGGACTTGGCAGTGTTAGGTTAACGGTTGGACTTGATGATCTTGGAGGTCTCTTCCAACCTAAATGATTCTATGATTCTTGCAGGAATGGGGAGAGAAGCTTAGTTTCAAAAGAGCAGAGCAGACTGGATGAATACCCTGAGGTCTGCCATTCTCCACATGCGAGACAGGTCATCATCTGTGGACTCCATTAGCCTTTTTCCGTAGGAAGCCTCAGGCCAGACCCTCCTTTTTGCTCTGTGGGTCTTTGAAATTGTTTAGCAGGGGTTCTTGACCTCTGTTCTTCTAGCCCTGGCCAAACACAGCTCGCATCCCCGGCAGGCTGGAGTTGCGTCTCTGAGGCCACTAGAATGCCCTGCTGTCCCTGAAGTACCTGCCTGAGGTTACATACATCTACCACATTTCTCCCTGCTTCCTCTTCCTATACCCATTCTTAAATTAATTACAGTCATACAGGTAAACCTGAGAGAGTGCTGTACTTAGTAATTACTAGTCAGGTTATATGCAGTATTTTATCTCTTTTTTGCTTGTTTCAGAAGGAAAAATATAGATTTCAGAATGCTGGGCATAATTTGAAAATAGATGAGGCTTGAAATCCACAGGCATGCAGTGCTGACCTCCACCCAATCCCTTGCACCAGGACGTTGTGCCAGGAGAGGGTAAGTATGTGGGCACGTGAGCAGCGACAGGGCCTGCGCTTGCGGGTGTTGATGGAACTAACAGGTCAGGCAATCACTCGCAGATCGAGCAGGGTGTTGCACGTGTTAAGAAAAGTGCATCCTCTTGCAGCACTTCTTGCTGACTTACTGATTTTTGTTTTCCCATCAGCATGATCGGCACATTGTCCTTGGTCACACTGGTCACTGAAAGCCATTCCAACACGTTAATGAGTAGCCAGACTGTAAAACTAAGGCATCAGGAGCAGGTACAGCCACAGCCTGTGTATACAGTGTATGTTTCTTAAGCAGCTTGCACAATAGCATGTTTTCATATATCAGCTGGGCTCTTACGAGTGTCACCAAAGTAATTCAGCAAAGCCTTCATGTTCTCATGGCGACCCTGCTGCTGTGAATCCAAGAGCCACTCTCCCCTTTTCTCTTTGCACCTACAGTGCCACTGAGAGCAGTGGGTTTCGAGGGCAGCCTCCCAGGGAAGTGGAAAGAGGGGACAGCTTCCAGCCAGGTCTTTTGCTTTCTTCCCATGATATTGAGGGCAACCAC